TCAACCAAACCCACCTTATATGTACATCTGTTGCACATCATTCTATGTGTAGCCTTTTATTGAAGGCCCAACCTAGCGTTATGTAGTAATTGCTGCTTTTTATTTCACGCAATTTTGCCGCTTTCCTGGAATTAGTTGGATTTCACATGTTGGCTTCCCTAAGCCTGAGGTCGCACATGAACGAAAATGTTAAGCAGTTCCAGGTACACACATGCATGCTAAGCTCCTCTTTAGGCGCGGTTCTCACCACTCCCAATATTCCGACGCATAACTTAAGTAGACGTGTTTGTGCTTTCAGGAATTCGCCCTGGTCATGAAACCTTCCGTAATTCGCTTAACTTTCTGTTAAAGTTTTTGGCTTAATTTCCTATTTTTATTGCCAATAAGTTTAAAGTTTAGATTTAGTATCCAGGTTATATTTAAATAAAAAACAACTAAGAAAAGTATTACGAATTATGAAAAAAAAATTTTCCCCCACAAGGTTTGATAGAAAAATATATATCTAATAATTCATTTAGATTAGTATAAGCTTTGCCTTTAATTTATCAAATTTTCATATGTACATTTATACTGTCATATATATCTGCGGTTAGTAAAATTTTTAAAGCACTTATTAGACTTCTGCAAATATGTTCATAGTTTAATGCCATTGTCTGTCAAAAAAATGCTCTTACAATTTCAATTGGTGGTTTAATGTTGCACATTCATGCATACATTGCATTTGCGCATAAATTTAAGCTTACATTGTGTTCAAGCAGTGCTTAATATTTGCACACACAAGTGGTGCGGCTACCGAGTGGGAAGCGTAAATCCGTTGGCTAATTGTTTCCGCAATGAAACGTGCATAAAATCCTTTAACGGGCTTTAATGTTGGCATAAAACCAAACGCGCTCACGCTTACAGATGTGGATAAGTACGTACATATGTATGTATGTTAGTATTTTCGTTTGTGAAAGGTCATATGTATGTTTGCAAGTAGTTTGATAATAACATATTCGTAATTCATTTTTCATATGCTGACACATAAAATGCATGAGCACAAACCAAGAGCGAGTTTACCCATGTGTACATACCATATTGGAAAATTTAAAAATTTTTGGCCAAGTGATTTTATGCTGATGAACTGAGTTTCGGTTTATATTTTGCCTAGAATTTTAATTTTCTATAGTCAATTAACTCAAAGTTATTGCTTAGGTTAGTATTAAAGTCTAGGCTTAATATAATGAGTAACGCCGTGTCCAACGTAGACACGAGAAATGAGGTGCGGGCGATGCGGTGCGGTGCGTTGAATGCGGGCAGATTACAAAACCAACAACATATGTTGGCAAATGTAGATGTCCGACGTATTCACGATTTTGCGTGCATTGCGACGTCCCGCATCGCACGCATTGTTTGAAAATCAAACTCGTTTAATTTTATCCGCAGTATCGTGCCAGAAATTCGGCAGTGAATATGGAAATTGTTATATTAGAAATACATTTAAAAATTTAAATGAACAACTACACAATTAAACTTTTCAAAAAAATTTAAATATTTGTGTTTTAATTAGCTCAAATTTAGAAAAGGCCTCTCTTCCACGGATATAGAGGATAAATTTTGTTGTGGTATTATAAAAAATGTCATGTATATTTTCTGATATGTAGCCAAATATTTTTATCAGCATTCTTGTATACTCATGAAATTTAATTTCATTTGCGCGCAGTTCCGGGTACAGATCACACGATATATTTAATTCAGGGACGTAAAATAATCATTATTTTTTAATTTTAACCAAAAAAATTAATAAGTTGTAATCGTCGTAAAACAATTTTTACTGCACTAACGTATTTGTGTTCGTACGTCCTACTGTAGTTTACAATGATTTTTATTTTTCGAGTTTGACCAATAAAGATTAAAAAAATTATAATTTTTCTTTGAGTGTAATTTTTTTGGCTCAAAGGACATTATTGTTACTTGATTTGTATTTTTTCTCGCTCAAAGATAATGATTATTATTGAGTTATATTTTTTCACATAAGAATAATGATCATTCAAAAAACTCAAACCGACATATCCTGTTCAGAGGAGGCAATCTGTATCTATACTAATTATATAAAGAGAAGTTTTCTTTTTTGTAACAGGTAATCTCGTGAACGCCATGTCCGATTGTCATGAAATTTTTGTATATAAATATCTATCAGCAACCACCATGTCATAGGCCAAAAAATGTAGTTTTTTGCGGTAGTGGGCCAGGGACCGATCTATTCGAAAAAATCTTATTTATGGTCCGATTCGCTTGAAATTTGGCACGTAGGTAGCTTTTTGCCTAGATTAACTTATGGGATACTTTTTTTCTTATAGGTGAATCAGATACCGAGGCTTTGGAAATCAATCCCATACTTATGGAGAAAAGTTGAGGTTATTGGAAAAGGGGACGTGGCGCCTTCCAAATATACTGAAACTTTTACCTTTCTGTATATGGGGTGTTCCATACCAAAACGGACGGGGTTCACACTTCATGTGTTTGGTTTGTTTCAAATTTTTAGGGTAGATGCATAAATAAATATGAAATTTGAGCTTGGTTAATACATTTTTAAGAACTTTACAGCACCAAAAACAAAAACAAATCGGTTTAATAGTTTTCCAAATATCTCGAGAACGGGGCGAAGAAAAAATTTGGAAAAAATAACACATACAACCATCAAAATTTTCTATGAAAACCAATATTAACATTTTTTTTCTTGAAACATTTTTCACATACACATTTTTTTATAAAAAAATTAGTTTTTGAAAATATGCAATCTCGAACAAAATTGAAAAAAATCACAATGGTAGCTCTGAGTATTGCGCAATATTTAAGTATAGTATTATGGGGTGCGCTCTACAATAATTTGAGTTATGAATTTTTTTTACACCGAAGTTGAGTAAAATGAGTACATAACAAATTTAAAAATTTTTTTAGATTTTTTGTTTTGTGTACGCAGTTTTATAGCCCATTAAATCGCGCCCCGCGCGTCTGGCGCGCACACCACGTATACGTTGAAATAAAATTTTTATATATTTTAAACATCGATGGCTTATATTCAATAATACCCTCTATCTGCACATTTTTCACAAAGATGAGATTCTGATATAAAAATCCACCTAAGCTTTAAATGTCATCAGTGATATTAATGTTACCTTATATAACGACAGGTAATAAGTCCCAGATGGTTTCTAAAATCACAAATTAGTTTTTGTGCAAATTGCAGATAGAGGGTATTAATGAATTCAAGCCCTCGATATTTCACATTTTTATATTTGTAAGTTATTAGAATTAGGGATGCCAACTTGGCTCAAACCGTGCCATTTGTCCCTATTTTACTTCAAATGGCACTTAATTTTTCAATTTGGCACAAAGTGCCAAAATGGCACTTTTACAAAAAAAAAATTACATTTCAATACATTTTTGTGAAATCCTTTGCGTGCACTGATTTTTCTCAACTAAAATTTTCTAATTTATAAAGGCTATTCAACTGGTTTATCTTATTTTATCATTACAATTTGGTTTGGAAAATGTAGCTTTATTTTATTGCTAAATGTACATTTGTCACTTTTTTATCCTCAATATGGCACCTCATAACTAAGGATAGTTGGCAGCCCTGATTGGAAGATTTCTGCTGTGTTTTGGGGCAACAACTTGTCTGCAGTAAAAAGGCATATAATTTGTGTTTCAAAAGTGTGTGAAAACCAATCAATTAATTTATATGATCTCGGTTCCGATATTAAATAATCAATAATTGTTTATACCCGCATTTGGCACATTGGCTCGTTGAATGTGCCATCTAATAAATAGTGTCGTCATTCTCCTTAGCTGCTTTTAAATGATAACGTCACAAATTGCTGGCGGAGACATGAATATAGTGTAAGAAAATTCTTTTTCTATAATTGTCTCCTTATGGAAAAGTTGGTTTCTTTTCCACCTTAGACATTCCGAATTCGTTCAAAATATGCTAATTTAAAACACAGAATTCTTTCAGTGTTCCTCCGGGGTTTTTGGACATGGACTGTTTCTTCAATTTAATAGTGTTCGCTTTATTTTTGTGGAAACGAAACATGTTTTGCAAGTTATGGATCATTTCTACACTCTTTCTTCAAATATTTCTCGTATTCCAGCTGGGCGCAGGCGTTGAGTTTTTAGCATCGTGTTTTTACATATTCGTAATTTAAACTTTTTTAATAAAATAAATTGGTGGTAGTTCATGATTGTGTGTGGATTAATATCACAACACTGAGGATTTGGCAATAACCGTTTTCATCTATTATAAAACAACACTTACGGGGCAATGTTTATTGTAAGAACAACACTTTTTTTTTTATGAATCGACTTACTTTAAGCATTGTTGACGCTATTTCCATTTTAATGAGGAAATAGCGTCAATGACTTTATTTCCAACTTTTTGTTGACTTTATTTCGCTTTTGAAAAGGTAATAATGTCAATTGACTTTATTTCGCACCAGGGTGGGAAATAAAGTCAATTGACCTTATTTCCATTGAACTTATTACCTGTCGCCATCGTAAATGTCTTCTTCTTCGTGCCAGAAACCGCCCAGACTTTTTTCCCGGCAGAAATGTGAAAGAAGTGAATTTGAAATAATTGTTGTTGTTTGTTTACATCCGAAAGCAGCTTTTATAAAATACAAACATGGAAAATAGCACTGAAGTTTCAGAAATGTAGGTAATTGCAAATTTTTTTAGCCATATACATATAAGTTAAATGCACATAAAATAATTGTTTAGAGCTGATTTGTTGATTCCGGGCATGAAATGTGGGTTTTTGCGTTCCTCACGCTCTGGGCACTTTTGACACGTGTTGACATATTATTGACACTTGTGAGAGAGTAACTTATTTTTACGCTCTAATTACCGAAACAGCCCAGAAAGCGTGAGGAACAAAGCTAATATGTACATATATGTTCTTGCGAACGCACAATTTTTGTAATATCTCATGTATGTGTACGTATTTTTATTTGTATTTCCAGGCAAACCGGTTTCTTGGATGATGATTTCGCCATCCGTAACACCAAGGAAATTAAACGTTGGCTCAAATAATCCAGCGATGCGTCTTTACAAATTCGATACGGACTCCGGTCAGGTCAGTAGACATTGAGTGTTTTTAAGAAACATGATTTAAGAAATAAACATAAGTAGTTGATGCCATTTATTCAGCAGCATTGTGTGCTTGGTGTTAAGGAAATATGAGTGCAGAGCAACTTTATTTAAAGTGTTTTATTTTTACAGAAAATCGATTCATAATAGCAAACGGTTGTACAGTAACATTATCCGGTTACGCAATTAGGCACACACTTCAAGGAGAATGCACCTAAAACTTGAAGCCTGTACCTACGGGCTCCATTTTGGGACAGTTCTAACCTCAAGCTTATCTAATGAATTGACTAATAAAATAGGCCCTTCAGCGAAGTTGTTGTGGGAAAAAATCGTATCTACCCTATCACAATTGTGTCCAAGGCGGTTTCCAGCGACTTTACTTTATGCATTGGTGCCTCACGAAGTAAATGCAGATTATCTCAACTTGAGTTGGAGAACTGAGCCATTTCTTACTACTTCTGTCACGACTACTAAATATACTTACCCACCCGACCAACGTACACGAGAATGCATCCATTTTAGAAATTTTGTTAACACTATCGAAAATGGGTCGTGAAATTATTACCTGTCGCTCAGTTTGTGGCAGCAGAACTCTCCTTCTCGTTATACGTTTTCAAAAGATTTTGCGAAGAGTTTTCGATAGTGAAACCGTATCTGATGCTGAAGTTATTTCAATCCATTTCGCTATCGATAAATGAATGAAAACGGCAACGTTTCCGACTCCTTCGATAATCGAGAAAGTAACGAAAACGTTAGGAGGTTGAGAGAAGAATCGTAAGCAAACATTAAAACTACTAGTTTACGATAATTAGAGCTGTTCCATTCCAGTTTATTCCCATGTTTAACATAACTAACAAAAGATAACAGTAGTTCAATTTTCTCGTTTTTAAACCAAAATTAAGTTTATATAAACGTATTTAGATGTGATTTAGGTAAATGTTATAATAATTAAAATGATAAATTTACAATGGTTGAAGAAATAATAGAAACTGGTCGAAATAGTTTTGGCTATATTACTTTTGTTTGTTTGATGTTTAATACTTTTTTATAAAAGTCTAGCGCATTATATAACATGCACCATATAAATCCACATTTAAAATTTTTTACAAAAATTTCAAACTTCTTAATCCGATTTTTTTTTGAAAAATTTTGGGTCTGCAGTTTTATAGCCCATAAAAAACCACGTTTCAAACTTTGTACAAAAATTATAAAAATTCAACACATTTTACCAAAGTCCCCAAAAATTTAAAAGTCGGTATCTCAAGGGTGGCGGTGCACTAATTTGGTTTAGTTTCAATCATAGTGTCGTGAAGAAATTAACAGTAATCCTAAATTTGTATATTAGCATTGAAGCCGCTAGTATATTTTCTTAAACATTACTTGTTGTTGAACACCACTTTTCATCCTTTGTTTTTTTCTTGACATTTATACATTTTGCAGATACTGTCATGACTCATGAGCGTACGGGATTTTTGAATCGTCTATTTGCATGATAAGGATAGTCAGTTATTTAGTTTAACAATCGACGCCTCCAAACCACACCATGCTAAGTCTGACTAAGTCTTATGTCACTTAGCAAGGTATGGCTTGGAAACGTCTATATTTATTCTGCAAAGGAATTTCAATACTTACTCCGATCTATTATATTGTTCCATAAATTGGTTCATTGGAATTATTATTTGGTGATACCGATTTCATTAACTTAATACTAAATGTAAATGTTCATTAACTTAATACTAATATGTATTTAAGCTCAAATTACTTTTATTTACATTTAAGAATTCACAAGGCGAACTTAGCACAGTGCGTAGGCAACTGGCTGAGTCAGTGGGATTGTCGGTTCGAATCCTATTGAAAGAAGTCTTATGAGGAAATGTGGTGATTTCCGAAATAGCTATTACTTCTACCACTTTTTCAAATTACTGTTGCTTTTCCACAATAAGTTTTTCATTAAAAACGGCCTCGAGCTCAATAAAAATTGTTAAATATAATTGTTATAAGGCCATAAAATAACAAAAACAGCTTTGAAAAATTCCTACAAAATTTTTATTACCGCGATGCCTCCTTCTATATAAAGCATAATTATAAATTGAATACATTGTAGATGCATTCAACGGATAGAAAACTAAAAAACAAACTTCCGTTTGAAATACGGGACTCTTAGGTGAGGTGGAGCTAGAGGGTAAGAGAAACTGTCGTATAACTCGTAACATCAGGAAACATACATTTCTTGGTCGGATGGGTATATATTTCAATACTTCATTATACATAGTTACCATAACTTGTGTTGAGAGAAATACAATTAGTTGACGTAACTAGACTCTTTTATTTGTGAAGCCACTCGTAGTCATTCAATGGCTCCGTTGACAGAAAATTCCCATCTAGCTGTTTGTTCTACCATAGTTGCCAACTTGGTGCTTCAAGCAATAGATTTAGTGCTTTTTGAAAATTAAAACGCAAAAAAAATAATTTAGTGCCTAGTGCCTTTTTTAGTGTTTCTTTCTGAACTAAAATTTCTCCGAGACAGTTAAAACCGGAAATAATTTGAAATATTTAAAGCTGTGGCAGCATGAATTTACAAGAATCTACAAATTTAAATGCACTAAAATACAATCGTGATTGATAAGAAGCTGAGGTTGCAATCCCAACTTGTTGAATTCTATTCGCGTTTAAAATGCTAGTACGCAGGAAAGCTAAGTATTATTTTCTTTACTAATTATTTGTAAAAATTTTGATATTTTTACCATCTGAGTAAAACTCATCGTTTCTTAGTGGTGAAACCAAATCTGGTAGCACAATTGCTTGGCACCTCAAAGTGCCAAAAATACGATTTTTGGCGATATTTGAGGTTATATTATGAAAACATCAATTTTTTTGCTTATTTATACTTAGGGCATTAATTTGTATTACTCTTCCCCTTTAAAATTAATGTTCGTTTGTTGCGATTCGATTTTTCTTTATCGAGATATACCACTTGTATTTCGGTATTACTTCGTAAACATGAGTCATCATAGCATGTGTAGAGGCTATTCAATCGTTATAAAAAGTATTGAGTATTTATGTATGTATGTATACTTGTAAATATTGTTAATTTTTTTTACTTTTGTTAAATACAAACTTTTATGAAAAAAGTATATTTGATTCAAAACAAAAAATTTGATGCTTTAAGTGTGGTAAAACGCTTTTTTCCAAGTTTTTGGTGCCTTTTAAAAATCAAAAGGTGTTCTAGACCTGCATTTTTAGAATTCCTAAAGCTAAAACATTTATCGTCCGCGGTGGTTGAGTGGCTAGAAGTGCGTACTACCACTTCGTAGAAGCTGAGTTCGACTCCTCTATCAAGTTTTTCCTAACAGCGGTCGCCCTTCGGTAGGCAATGACAAAACTGAGTTTATTTCTGGCTTGAAAGAAATTCTCATAAAAATACAATCACCGTTCGGAGGTGGGTACTTGGTGTTCAGCTTGTTATTCATACATAACTCTACAAGACAGCTGAGTATCATATGAATGCTCATATTATCATTATCGCTTATTACAAAAGTGCTTATCAAAGTCCTCATTTACGTTCAGGCCATGGGAAAAAGTTGAGTACTTTCCCCTCAATATTGTCATCAGAAAATCCTCAGTACTAATAGTCAAACTACAAAAAGAAAAGTGTAAATGTGTTGAAATTTTTGTCTTAAGTGCTCAGCAATGTCTTGTAGGGAAGATGTGGCTTTATTTTGGCCATATTTATCTATGTAGGTATGTTTCGTATATATACAAAGGTGATACATTTTGTGGTCAATACTTGTATTTCAATATTTTATTGATTTATCGTTTTATTTTGTGTGCTCAATTTACTTTTCAGCTGGCTTTCCATAGGAAACATCACAGAGGAAAGTAAAATGCATGCATCCATCTAAATACATACTTACATAAACTTTCGTATACATATACATACAAATATATGATAGACCTCGTTAAAATAAATATAAAATAATCCCGAAATGCGAACGGCATAAGGCTTTCAGCATTTGGTATATTAATGATCCTCCATGAATCTCGCCTTCATCGAGCATTTAGTTTTCCCATAGGAATTGCACGTAAGAAAATGAGTCCTTTCTGTTTGAAGTTAATATATTTTTTTAGTATCAATTAAATCCCTCGAAACTGTAAGAATACTTTGACTACATGTCATTTACGTATTCTGCAGTCTCGGATTATTTAAATTCCTAAATTACCCTTATTAATCCCTCTAAATCTGAGCATGCACAATACTCAAATGGCATGTAATCAATATATTCTTACAGTTTCGAGCGTTTTCATTGATCCTAGAAAATTATATTGACCTCAAAAGGAAAGAACTCATTTTCTTACGTGTAATTCCTATGGGAAAATTAAAGGCTCGACGCGGGACCTCTTACAATTGTCCTAGAGAGGCGAGATTCATGGAGGATCATCAGGTACTATACCAAGTGCTAAAATTTGAGTCTTATGCCGGTCGCATTTCAGGATTTTTTTTACCTAGTCTAATATACATATATCTAGATATAGGTTGTTAATTATTTTTAGGTCATAGTTACTCTGTATAACAAAAAAACTAATATTTACCAGAAATTGCTATTTTTTAGCACACTTTGAATTGCTGGCATTGCTTCGAAATTGAATTTGTATTCCACTTCCGTACTCAAGCCAAGCCCACGTGAAAAGAGGTTGGGTTCTGTTCTCAATCGCTGCGTTTGTGTGCTCTACTTTCGCATTCCATTTTATTGTTAAATCTTCGCAACTGAGTTAAAAGTTTGTGTCTCGAAAACTATTTTCACTTGCATTATGATTTTTTATTTGTGAGTGCGTTTGTCCTTATTCGGCCACAATGTAGCAAAGTGTGTTACAAATTTAATTTATACAGCTGCAAACTTACACAGTTACTTCCGTTTGAGCGTACATCCGCTTGGCGAGTGGCGCATGCCTCTCCTTATATTCCGCTTGAAAGCTACACTATTGGCA